AAAAAGTTTTTGTTGTGCTTTCATCTGGGCAAGAAAAGTAGTCTCAAGATAAGAAGTAGTGTTTTAGAGGACTTCTGTCTCCTTGCCCTTCAACCTTAAATTGGACCCTGAATGAGATTCTTTTTTTCGATGGAGATCCCATAGGGTTCTCATCTTGTGAATGCTCAGAGGGCAGCTCAGATCCTTTTGAAAGGCCAGTCTAAGCATTGGGCATGGAGAAGGTCAACAGGCCAAGCTACAGAGCTGTCAGAGATCTGTGTGCTTCTGGCTTCTACTTCCCTCCTTCCTCCTTCTTCTCCTTCCCTCTTTCTATCTCATTTTGGTTTTGATCTTTGGGAATAGTGAATTTTACAGAATTTTGAACTGTAACATAATCCTTGTACCATAAAGAGTGGGCCTGACTGCTTTGTAAAAGATTTCTATAAGAACTACCCTTTCGTACTAAGGAGAATGACATCTGTTTTAAACCTGTTATTTTTGTTCTTCTTGCTTCACTCTTTCTGCAAATGCATTTGATTTGTGGTTATTGAAACTCCTGGTAGCAGCCATTTACTAGCAGTCAGTCCTCTTTGTCTTGGGCACAGTGCCTGGATTAATTGGAGGTGCTTTAATAAGCCCACCTCAATGCGGCCAGTTTGGGGTATTGACAATACTGGTAAGAAACAGTGCCTTGATGGCAGTCTCTCTAAAAACTCCCATGAGTCTGGTACCTGTGTGTTGCTTTAGTCTTTACCTTGTACAGCTTTTCATCACAAGCCATTTCTTTGGTGTTTCAAGTGTTAAATGAGTTGGCTGACTCCCTGGAAGCTTAAATTAAAAAAAAAAAAAAAAGCCAACATGGTAAAAGGAAAGCCTGGCTTTTAGTGTCATATGTGTTGCTAATATGTGGGCTGTTCCGGGTATCCCAGCCATACTTTCCCATGTAAATAGGTCTTATACATGCCCCGCTTGTGAGGATCAAGTAAGATGACATTTGTGAAGAATGCCTTTGTAAACTGTAAACTGCTTTGTGAATAAAGATTACTGTCTGTTATAAACAGTACCAGTTCACAGCCACTAGTAACCGGATTCTCTCATCCTGTGTTTGGAAGAAGCACGAACCTATGAAGAGGGATTGCTGATTTTTCCCTTTGCCTTGTATTCACAAGGCTCACGTACCTTTTCCCTGCCTTTTGATCCTGCCCTCTCTCTTTCTCCCCCTCTTCCTGTTTCCCTCTCTTCCCTCCCTGTCTCCCTCCTTCCACCCTGTTTTAATGGGAAGATCTATTATGTCATATTCTTAATAGAAAGTGTAACTGACTGTGCTTGTGTTAGAGATCATCGACAGATGTTGCAAAGCTGCTGGCCAAAAGTGTTCTTTCCACTTCCTCTTGCACCTCTCCAATACCTTAAGAATCCTTGAGGCTTGGCTATGAGTCAGCTGGAGCATATGGTAGATTCTAAATTCTCTGACCCAAGTCCTTCTCACAGGCTGGCAGTCACAAAATGGAATCGTGCTGTCTCCCAGGATAGTAGCTGAAAAGGGAAATGGAAATGTGGATGTTGAGTTCAGCAGTCCTCAAGCCCAGAGTTTGCACCTCTGTAGTATCCCTGCTGTGGAGAGTAAGAACTTTTTGCAGCTTCACATTAAGACCCCTTGACATGTACTTAGGAACACCTATGTGTGACTTTGCCAAGTGAGGACTTTGGGCATAGGAGAATTTTATTTAGCAGATTTTAATATAATTTAAGTCTAATCTAACCCTGCTGAGAAAGGAAGTGTCTTTGATTTTACTTTCAAATACATGGTGCCTCATTAGGAGCCAGACTCATGGTCTTCATGGTACCTTTGCTTTTTTAAGTAGCTTAATAAATAACCAGTAATCCAAATGATGAATAAAAATCCAAATGTATGAAGTTGGTAAATAGCAGACAGCCACTAAAAGCGATCAAATCGTCCTACCCATTTATTAATCCAACTCTCCACAGGTCACTTCACCAGGAGCCACTGACAGATCTCTACTCCAGAAAATCTGGAGAAAGGGCATAGGGGGAGCAGTGTATGTCTCGCCGGTGCTTGGTATATCTGGGCTGCCTGTATATGATAGCTGCTGGAGAATCAAATCATAGATAAACCTGATTATTTTCATTAAGATTTTTTTCTGTGATTATTATTATTAAAAATTGGCTGTTCTTTAACAGTGGTGTTAAAACCATTTCATATTCTTCAGCGATGGTCGCCGACGATCTTATGTTTAGCCATGTGCAGGTTGAAAAGGAAGGGCCATTTGAGTTGTAGGGGACTCTGAAGAATAAGAAATAATTAACTTTGTAACATATTCGGTGAAGGTCATCTTCTCAAAGTTGATATGCTAATGGGGACTACAAGCAGGGAGAATTCCCTACCCTAGTGCAGCCCTTGGAACAACGTATTTGTTATCTGAGAAGTCTAAAGTGCTCCTTGCCTTAGAAATTCCGGAATCTACCGATGCCTCCATGTGGTGAAATCAGAATTTACAGTTTTCTACAATTCACAGTAGTGCCCTGTTCTGGTAGCACTGTTCAAATGGCTGCCCACATGTTTTATGGATTGGGTACATAGAGGTACAATATAACAGCAATACCTCCTTCCAGCGTCACTGTGTTCTAGGCACCCTGGTCCTCCAGGGATAGTTGGATCCATTCAGTCTCTCGTTCATTCAACAAGTGCTTATTAGGCTCCTTCTCTATACCAGGTAAACTGCACTTGGTGCTGGTAATTTAGCAAGATTTAGCCTGGATACTAAGATCTCGCCCAACAATTTGGCAATTTACACTAAGTGTTATCGTAAAGATACAAGTTCTGACTCGCGGTGACCATTCCCTGTGAAAGGTTAGTCTTTTAGTAGATTGAAATGGGTTATGAAATACTACTACATGTCAAGCAAGCAAGGTGAAATGAGTGGGAATTTGATCCTGTCTAGTCTCAGCTGCTGATACTAGTCCTTTTCTAGCACTTATGGCTTAAAATAATCATTTATTGAACCCTCACCATATTCCGTGCTACACTCTTTACATCTATTAATTGAATGAATCTTCACAACTACCCTATGAGTTACAACTACCCTGTGAATTAGGCACTGTTATCCCTACTTTGGAGCCCTGGTGGCGTAGTGATTAAGGGCTTGACTGCTAACCAAAAGGTCAGCAGTTCGAGCCTACTAGCAACTCCTTGGAAACCCTGTGAGGCAGTTCTGCTCTGTCCTGTAGGGTCACTATGAGTCAGAATTGACTTGCCAGCAGTGGGTTTTTTTGTTGTTGTTGTTTGTTTGTTTATTCCTACTTTACAGATGAGGAAACTAAAGCACAGAGAAGTTACAGACCTTGTTGACGGTCATGGAGTAGAGGCAGGATTCAGATTCAGGGAATCTGTCCCGGAGTCCATGCTCTTAAATAATGTACTGTCTCCAGGTGGAATGGGACCATCTTGACCAACCTCCCTCATGGGTCACTTCTCTGGCCCACCCTGTGTGCAGAGCTTTTCTGTTTCCTGGATTGGCTGCTCAGGGCAAATTGCCTATCTCTGACACTGAGCAGGAGTTGGTCAGTGTGGCAGGAGGTCCCATCTCTACAGCTCCAAATGTGAATCCAGCCTGCCCTTCACCAGCTGAGTGACCTTGCCTCTCTGAGCTTGTTTCCTCACATGTAAAATGGAGATAATGTTCCTTCATAGTTTCTGGCTCTGAGTAAGCGCTTAATAAATATTAGCAATTTTTTATTACCATTTCCCTCTGGCCTCAAAAACAAGCCAGGAAACAGGTTCTGAGAGTCCAGATTCTAGGACCCAAGTAGGCGGGCAATTTTCCTTCGGTGATGACAAGACAATAATTTTATTCTATGTATTTCTCTTGACTCTTTTGGTATGAAAAGCAGAGAGGTAAAGCATTATTTGACAGATGTATGGATTCAAGCAAGAAACTGAGGTCCAATTGCAAAGAAATGCCTTGTATAACTCAGAGCCCTGTCTGAGGAGACACAGAGGACCCTAGAGGGCGGAGAATGAACACAGCACAGGGGCTAGTTCCAGAGTCGCATCCTCGGTTAGTTCACTTACAAGTGTGGGTGAGGGTCCCTTGTTTAGCAGGCAGAGATTTTTCTCCTCTGCTCCAGCAGGTATCTGCTGGCTAGTGTTTATTAAACAAAACTTATTTTCTTGGTGTGAAATAGAATTTATAACTTGTCCAAAGTGAAGAGGCAAGGGAGCTCTGTAACTACAGGTGTATTGAGCCCCTTCCCCCCACCTGTTCTGTGCCATACTTTCCCTAAGGATTTATTTGCCACTGGTTGCTTCTCAGGTCTCAGGGCCAGCTCGCTCTGCAGGCTCCAAGCCAGAGTGATGCTGCTGCCACCGCTGCTGCCACCACCACCGCTACTTCCACCAACCATTTACAATTCCTGCTATAAGGACGTGACCTGCTGTGAAGCTTTCACCTTTCTCCTCTCTAACTGTGTTCAGTATTGTACCTCTTTCTTCTCGTGCTTTTGCCATACAGTCAGTGTTTCAAAGAAAATTTTCAGGCCACCAAAGTTATAGCCCTTACTACCCTCCAAGGAGATGTGAGTTAGCTATGGAAAAGAAGATAATTGAGAGGGCTTCTGTCCCTCTCTGCTGCAGAAGGAAGAATTTGCTTCTTGGTAGTGTGCTAGCACCCAAGCCAGATGGGGGACTTTTTGGGACTCATGAGAATGCACTACAGAAGTAGATTGGACCTAGCCTGCCCAAGGACAGCGCCCCACCCCACAGGAGCCAAGGCTGAAGACCAGTTCCTCCTTCTCCCACTGTCCTTCCCTAAGCTTAAGCTTGCTGTGCCACACTGCCCCAAGTCTGCGGCTTTAAACAGCCATTTCCTTTTGTCAGTGAAAAAGCTCCCTCTTCTTTATAAAACATTTCAGCTTGGGGACTGGAAAGGCCCTCTGTGCTTTCCTGTCTCTCTCCGTCTCTAAGGGGTTGACGTTGATGGTTTCTGTCTTTGTCTTCACAGGGAACTCTAATGATCCATGACAGAGAGGTCACCCTCGAGTATGTACCAAGTCCAGATTTTTGGTACTGCAAACGGGTAAGTGCTAAGAATTCCTTTCCTTAGAAGTAAGGATCTAACATTATAGCCCCTCCACATTTCCAGGAATGCCGTTTGGTAGTGTATATTGTCAAGGGCAAAACTCTGCTTCCTAAGTTCACTTCACATGAACTGGAGGACAAGGCAAGATTATAACTCCTTTCCAGCTGCTGCCTTTGGCCATAGAGGATTCGGACCTACTGGAGATGTTTTACAGAGGCATGTGCTTTCTGTTGATTTAGCTTGATATTTTTATTAGTCTTAGTGAAATACAATTTGGATAGCTGTGGTTGTCATTTAGCCAGAGCACTCACATTTCATGGGTATACTGCTTTACAAGGAGTCCCTGGGTGGCACAAATGGTTAAGCACTCAACTACTAACTGAAAGTTTGGAGGTTCAGATCCACCCAGAGGTGCCTTGGAAGGAAGGCCTGGTGATCTACCTAAAAAGATCACAGCCACTGAAAACTCTATGGAGCACAGTTCTGTTCTAAAACATGGGGTCACCATGAGTCAGAATTGACCCACTGCAGCTAGTTTTATACTACTTTAACGTGTTAATTTAAGAAAACATTTAACTTCTAAAAATTATTTATGGTAAAATATACATAACAAAGTTTACCATTTTTGAGTGTATAATTCAGTGGCTTTTAGTACCTTTACAATGTTGTGTGATTATCACCACTATTTTCATTCAGTTTTTTTTTATCATCACAAATAGAAACTCTGTACCTATTAAACATAACTTGCCATTGTCACCTTTCTTCCCCCAGCCCTTAGTAACCTCTCTTCTACCTCTGTCTCTGTGAATTTGCCTCAGTATAAGTGAAATGGTACATTATGTGGCCTTTTATGTCTGGCTTCTTTCACTTAACATCATGTTTTCAAGTTTCATCCATGTAATAGCATGTATCGGTACTTCATTCCTTTCAAGGCTGAGACTAATAGTCCATTGTGTGGCTATACCACATTTTGTTTATCTGTTCATCAGTTGATGGACATTTGTGTTGTTTCCACCTTTTGGCTATTATGAATAATGTTGCTATGGACGTTTGTGTATAAATTTTTGCTTCAGCACCTGCTTTGAATTTGTTTGGGTATATACCCAGGAGTAGAATTGCTGGGTCATATGGTAATTCTGTGTTTAACTTTTTGAGAAACCACCAAACTTTTCCAAAGACAGCAGCTGTACCATTTTACATTCCCACCAGCAATATATGAGGGTTCCAATTTTCCTGTATCCCCACCAACACTTGTTATTTTCTGGGTTTTTTTTTTTAGCCATGCTAGTGGGTGTGAAGTGGTATTTCATAGTGGTTTCGATTTACATTTCCCTAATAATGTTGACTTGGTGCCACAGTGGTTAAGTACTTGGTTGCTAACCAAAAGGTCAGTGGTTCAAACCCACCAGCCACTCCGTGGGAGAAAGATGTGGCAGTCCACTTCCATAAAGATTATAGTCTTAGACCACTAATGACTATCCTGACAGGGAGCACAACAGAGAGTCCCCCTGATGGAGCAGCAGAAAAGTGGGGTGCAGAACTCAAATTCGAGTAAAAAGACCAGACTTAATGGTCTGAGACTGGAGGAACCCCAGAAAGCATGGCCCTCGGACTCTGTCAGCCTAACACTAAAACCATTCCCGAGGCCAACTCTTCAGACAAAGATTAGACTGGACTATGGGACAGAAAATGATACTCGTGAAGAGTGTGCTTCTTAGCTCAAGTAGATACATGAGACTAAATGGCAGCTCCTGGCCAGAGGTGAGATGAGAACGCATAGAGGGTCAGGAGCTTGTTGAATGAACACGGGAAATCGGATTAGAAAGGAGGAGTGTGTGGTCACAGTATAGGGAGAGCAATTAGGGTCACATAACAATGTATGTCTAAATTTTTGTATGAGCGACTAACTTGAATTGTAAACTTTCACTTAAAGTACAACAATAAAATAAAAATAAATAAAAAGATCATAGCCTTGGAAACCCTACAGGGCAGTTCTGCTGTCCTATAGGGTCACTGTGAGTCAGAATCAACTCGATGGCAATGAGTTTTAATGATGTTGAGCATCTTTTCATGTGCTAGTTGGCCGTTTGTATATCTTTGCAGAAATGTCTATTCAAGTCCTTTGCCCATTTTTAATTGGGTTGTTTATCTTTTGGTTGTTGAGTTGTGAGAGTGTTTTTTTTTTTATGTATTCTGAGTATTAGACGCTAATCAGGTATATGATTTGCAAAAATTTTCTCTTGTGAATTGTCTTTACACTTTCTTGATAGTGTCCTTTGATGCACAAAAGTTTTTAATTTTGATGAAATCTATTTTATCTATTTTTTCTTTTGTTGCTTCTGCTTTCAGTGTCATATCTAAGAATTCATTGCCAAATCCAAGGTCATAAAGATATACCGTTATGTTTTCTTCTAAGAGTTTTATAGTTTTAGCCCTTACCTTTATGTCCTTGAGCCATCTTGAGTTAATTTTTGTATGTGGTATGGGGTAAGAGTCCAACTTCGTTCTTCTGCATATGAAATTGGGAAGTAAGAGTCCTCCAACTTTGTTTTTCTTTTTCAAGATTGTTTGCTCTTCAGGGTTCTTTGCAATTCTGTATGAATTTTAGGATCAGCTTTCCCTTTTCTGCAAAAAAGGCCGTTGGGATTTTGATAACATTTAACATTTTAGTAGTGATTGCGTCAATATCATGGGATCATGAGTAATGTCCCCCCCCCCACTCCCCATTATACTTACCATATTAGCTATACAGTTCAAGTATTGTTTCTTTTATAATCGAAGGTTGAGGGAGTTAGTGTTAAAGGAAAAAATTTTGAACCTTCTTTTCCATTAATGGGCAGAAGGCAGAAGTTGACATTTGATATCAGAGTTACACAGCTATAGCTAAGGCTGTTGCTTTGTACTTTCTGAGCTTGTTGGAAAATAGAGGTGCCATCCTGCATATGCAGCCTCAAGTGCACTATGATACGGAGTGCACTTGACTTTTTGTTCACGGAGTTAAGCAAAAGGAACTGTGTTCACACTACAAGTGTCTCTCTTCCCTTGTTCTGGACTAATTAATGCTCCTTCCCCTTTAGCATCGTCAGAATAGCTGCCAGAAGCACTGATTACATATATTTTTCTCCTCCTTCCTTGCCCCTTGTTATCAATGTTTGAGAAAGGAGTTAAAAAGTTGAATTCTCATCATTTCCAGCCAACCCTGAATGGCGCTCTCATAACCAGTTCTGGACTGAGTTTTGGATGCAGAATGGTAAAGGTTTTGGGGCAATAGTATTCTGTAAGCCATTCAACAGTCCAGTTTTTTAGTTAAGTATATTTCCTATAAAAATTCTTGTACAGGGCAAAGGAATTTTTGACTGCCCTGAAGTCCAGACATCCTGTTAGAAGGCTGCTGTCAGCAGCTCATTAGATCCTGTCTGCCAGCTCTGATTAATGAGAGGGATTTCAGACCCTTCAGGCTTTGAGGTGTTCTGGGGTATGACTTGTTTCTCATTTTCGGCAGATGTTACTGTGTTGGATATGCATAAAGTTTTTTAAATGTTTCGGTCAAATTGAATTCTTTCCCACTTTCCCTTGCAGTGTAAGGCCAACACTGGTGGACTCCAATCTTCATGTTCGTTCTGCAAGGGTCCAAGGGAAGGTGAGTGGTAGTGGTTTTTGTTTTTGCACTGGATAAAACAAATTTTGTGCCTTCCTTGTCTTTAAAAAGTTGTCATCCCTAAATACGAAGTCTGTCTGAAAGCTTTTAAAAATGTGATGTCCAACTTCATGTAATCTATTAGTGAACAATTTTGGGTCTCACGAGTCCCAGCAGGGGAAAGAGATGGGGTTGCAGGTTCCTCAGGTTGGGATGGCTGAGCAGGCAGCTGACCAGAAGTCTTTAGAATTGGTATTTGGAATACATTTAAGGATGTTAGGCTGGGCTAGAATCTACATGGCGTCAGCCTGTGTAACGCCACCCCTCCCCCCAACACACACACACATACACACACACACTTCTTTCAAGTTATTGGGAATCATTTGCTATCAATATTGTTGCTCATGTATACTCCACCAGTATTTCAGAAGGCTTCAACAGGAAAACATTTGTTAAAATAACAGTAAAAATATAAACAAGAGAAAATAATTAGGATTAGGGGAATGTATTATAATTATAGAGGAATGAACCTACATACTTTATTCTTCCATAATAATATTATTAACTTAATAATAATATTATAAATTTCTGAAGTACTTAATTTTAAAGTAAATTTCTCCCAAGAGCCTTTAGCTAGACAACTTTGAAGAGTCTACCAAAGGCATCCCTAATAGCATCTTGTAACAATGGCTATTGTATCTCTGTTTCTGATATTATCCCTGCAGGAAAGCTCAGGGCATGATTGAAAAATACACAGTTGAGCACAGGGATCTAGGTAGCCTTCTGAATGATCTGTTTGATCCGAAGTTAGAAATTAGTATGCCTACAAAGAGTTTCTTAGCTGGGCTTTTAGCCTGCGCTGGAGAGTCTACTCTAGTGGCAACTGTGAGGCAGGTGTTCTGAAAATCTTTGAAGGAAGGATAAAGACCAAACCAATATGTGGGATGAGTGTAAATGAGCTATATGCAGATAGGTCTATTCCCATCTCCCATCCAGAAAACAGGGGGCCTGAGGTCTTACACAGGAGTCCTGGTGGTGCAGTGGTTAAGCACTCAGCTGCTAACTGATAAGTTGGTGGTTCAAACCCACCAGCCATTCTGTGGGAGAAAGATGTGACAGTCTGCTTCCGTAAAGATTCACAGCCTTGGAAACCCTAAGGAGCAGTTCTGCTTTGTCCTGTAGGGTCACTATGAGTTGGAATTGACTGGATGGCAGTGGGTTTCGTGCAGGTGATCTTACAAAATGGGAGACAGCTGTCTTAGTACCATAACACTGGAAGAAGCAAGACTTCAGGATACATGTTTCTACCAAACCTCTAGCCAGGGCCATATCTTTGGTAATTGTGTCTGCAGATCTGTTCTTATCATTGTTTATAATAGGGTCTCTTGAAGGAGTTGTTATATTTAAACATTTGGGAAGTGATAGCTCATAAGATTAAACTTTTCAAATGGTTAGTTTCTTCTGTGAACTCTTTCATGTGCTACGTCAACAGCCTTGCTTGAAGCCTTCTGCCAGAAATTGGCAGGGGACTTTTTCGTGCCTGTATTCCTGATACAATATCAAAAGCATTTTAGTGTAAGTATATGGTGGCAGCTAAGGAGAAATCTCAGCAGTAGTGGTTTTTTTTGTGTCTGTGTGTGTAAAGCCTGTTGGGTCTCTTTCTGTTTCTGTTTCCCTGGTTACAGAGGTAAAGCAGGAATTAATATCATACCCTCAGCCTCAGAAAACATCTGTACCAGCACTGTCAGAAAAACAGCCCAACCAGCCCCCACGGTCAGCTGATAAGGAACCTGAATCCAAGAAGTGGGAAGAAGGACAAGAACCACGCTTGGGGCACCAGAAGAGAGAAGCAGAAAGGTATCTGCCTCCTTCTCGAAGGGAAGGGCTTGCCTTCCGAAGAGACCGAGAGAAGGAGCCATGGTCTGGGGAAACACGCCAAGATGGAGAGAGCAAAAGTAAGTGGTTTGTTAAGGCATGTACCAGTTGGAGCGTAGATAGCCTATGTTGTGGCTAGAGGCCAGCCACTTGCCCACTGTAGTAGAACTATGTTCAGCCTTACAGTATAGGCTGTTGCTTTCTGTTGGTAATCTATGTCCTCTGAATAGCAAATGCCTGTACAATGCAGCAAGTCATAGTTTTACATTTCTAAGTTTTGATTTATGAAAAGGAAACTATGCAATATTTGACTAGCGTTTTATAGAACCAGCCTTGCTAGCACAGAGTGCATCTACAGTCATCTGTAGTAGAAAATGACAGTCAGGGTCTTGGAACTTCAAAAATTCACCTCTCTCTCTCTTTCCTTGCTTCTCTCCCATTTATGCATGGTTTGTCAGCAATCATGCTGAAACGCATCTATCGTTCCACTCCACCTGAGGTGATAGTGGAAGTGCTGGAGCCCTACGTCCACCTTACTACTGCCAATGTCCGCATTATCAAGAACAGAACCGGCCCCATGGGCCACACCTATGGCTTTATTGACCTCGACTCCCATGCGGTGAGTTTCCTTCACCTTGAAACGATCTAGCAACGACTGGCTATAGAACTCTCAAGAAAGCTTGAGGGACTTCTTTATCACTTGAATTCTCATGTGTTACCTGGTAACATAACCCCTCTTGTTCTCTATATTGGGTTTAACATTCACTCAGGTGAGGTAACTACCCTATAAGTTAGAACTCTGAGTGGTTTTCCAGTACCATTTTTGTCTTGTGTCATTTACAATTTCCAGTTAAAATAAAAACTAAAACTTAGTTACTTGTAAAGAATTTTAGTGCTGAACCCCTTAATCTATCAGTGAGTTTTCTAATTTCTTAGGCATGTTTTTCCCGCTCACTGACAGTTTTGTATTTGATAATAACAGAACATTTCCTCTTTTTCCTCAAAGTATTGCTTTAATAGAGTCTCATGGCTTGAGTTTTTAGCTGTTGGACCCTTTTCTATGAAAATGAAGTGAAGATAGTAATGAAAATCATTGGCGTTTCTTAGATTTCTTGCTCAAAAATCACAAGGGATTTTGTAAACCTGATCTGATACGATGACAATTGCAGCCGAAGAGAAGAGGATTTGAATTTCTCAAATTTGTACCAGAAACTGAGCTTCTGTCTACTCTCTCGTCAGCCCTTTGTTAAGAGTTATCAATTTTTGCTAGTGTGCTCTTACTGCTAAGCAACCAGAACATAACATTTAATAAATTTCTCTCTCTAAAGAAAAACCCATGCTCAGTTCTTTTTCAAAGGACATAGTCTTTTCTCTCTTTGAGTTCAAGTGTGTTTTTGATTCCCCAGGAAGCTCTTCGTGTAGTGAAGATTTTGCAGAACCTTGATCCACCATTTAGCATTGATGGGAAGATGGTAGCTGTAAACCTGGCCACCGGAAAACGAAGGTAAGGCAGAGGGCTCAGGCTCCATTATGCTGCCCCTACTTGAGTTTTTGGAAGAAAACTCCCATTTCAACTGGAGAGACAGAGATAGTAAGACATGACGCGTTCCCGGTGTGAGGCTCTTCAGATATGTAATTATCCATTTTCTTGGTCTGAAGGTTGCCTTGGTCTGACTCTAGATTTGTTTTGCTTCTTAAATAATGGTAGTAGATACTTTAGTCCTTTTCTTCTTGACTGCCTGGTATCATTGGACCCCAAATGATGGTACAGTCTTGGATGTACCATTCTCGATATGGAATCCTAAGACAATGCTGACCTGAACTCCCCCACTTCCTGACCTTGTTCATACCCCATAGCACTGGGAAATTCAGTCCTCTTTACTCCTTCACTCATCATCCTGGGAGTGGCAACTGGGAAGCAGTCGCATCAGAGAAGCTAGCTAGCTTACAGAGAATGGGCAGATCTTGCTCTATCACCCTCCACTTGGTCACTTATGGCTCTGGCCAGTGGCTTTGTAGGAGTCCCACTGCTTCTCCCCTCATATGTCTCTGGGCCACCAGACTTGTTTGATATCTGAGTTTGTTCCTTTCCCTGCAAAATGGATAAAAGAGTTTCTCAGTCAATCTGTAGAGTTAAGGTAATTTTATTCACTCCTTAAGTGCCTTTTGGCAGCAAGCTCATGACGTATTGTGGTGTTGTTACAGAAATGATTCTGGGGACCATTCTGACCACATGCACTACTATCAGGTAAGCTTTAACAGCTGGGGCATGCGCTGTTGAAATCTCAAGTGACTGAAGGAGTGATCTTGAATCCTCTCTAAAAATTGACAGCAATCACCAGTGGGTGATTGGTAAGGTAAATGGCTGTTGGATAGTTGCCTCTTTTTTTCTGATAGTTGACTTTTGAATTCCATAATTTTCACTTGCCTTTCTGTGATAGGGTAAGAAGTATTTCCGAGATAGGAGGGGAAGTGGCAGAAATTCAGACTGGTCTTCAGATTCAAATCGACAAGGACAGCAGTGTAAGTAAACTTCGTTTTATTTCTGTTGTTCTTTTTGGCTTGACTTGCTACTCGTTACTTGAAATCTGTGTGATCACAAAGTTGGCAAGAGATGCTGTTGACTGGGGATGCACATCCAGAGAGTGCACTGTCTGCGGGTTCTTTGGCTATTTTGTTGGCCAGCCTTGTTCTTGGGCTATTCCTGGTGAGCCCCCAGTAAGGACTTCAGTGGACAGGGACTAACATTGCCTCTGATTTCATTCCCTCTAGCATCATCTGACTGCTACATATATGATTCTGCCACTGGCTACTATTATGACCCCTTGGCAGGAACTTACTATGACCCTAACACCCAGGTGAGTTTTGGCCTTTATGTTTACTTTGTCAGTGTTTCTTTTGAGAAAAGCATCTGTAATTTGTTACTTCAAGGATTTTTTTCCCCCTGGATTCTCTGGATGCTCATTGCATCAAAAGTGGAAGAGTTTAATTCTATGGAAAGTTAATATTTCTCCATTCCAGGTAGCTGTTCTCTTGCACTATCCATACCTCTTATCTAGCCTGGTGTTTTTATAAGGCTAGCTCTTGTATTGAGTTTTATTTATTCAGGTGGATTTTAAAGATGATGGCCTTTTGTTAACTGTAGCCTATATGGAAAATCGATGCCTTGTGGCATTACAGGTAAGAATGGTGCTGCTCTTGGAAAAGTGAACATTGGGTGGTCTGAATGTGTCCTGGGCTCCTGGAGTGGGTTTTTAGATTCTCTGACATAGACTCTTCTTAGGCTTGTCAGTCAGATAGCTATTCTTTTCCTCAGAAGGGAACTGTCTTCCTTAGACCTGAAATTGCTGGAAAACTGAAACATCCTGTAGACTTACCTGTTTCCACCTGTATCACAGCAAGAAGTCTATGTGCCCCAGGACCCTGGGTCACCTGAGGAAGAAGAGATCAAGGAAAAGAAACCTACCAGCCAAGGAAAGTCAAGTGGCAAGAAGGAAACATCTAAAAGAGATGGCAAGGAGAAGAAAGACAGAGGTGTAACAAAGGTAAGAGGACCTGTGAGTCTGCTGTCTTTTTACCAGATAATCACAGGTTAAAACGAAAGAGTCATGGACGGAGGAGATCCAGGTTTAAGGCATAAGGTTACTCGAAAAGTACTGTAATTACCTGGTGCAGGCAGTCGCCTGTCCCTTACAGACCCATGCTTACTCTCTGCCTTTTACAGATGTGAAAACTATGGACCGTAGAACAAAGTGACTGAGCTCAAACCCCACCACCTCAGCACCACATGTTTTCATTTTCCACATCCCTTTTTAGTGCTTGACTTTGTATACACATTTCCATAGGTGTGGTTTCTTTATTCAGTTGTATTTTATTGTAAGTATTTTTCCATGTTTCTGTAATTCTCTTTATAAGTATTATTTTTAATGCTTGATCCACAATAAACCTGTGCCCTTATTTTCTTTATTATTCCTGTGTTGACTGTCTCCTGTTTCTACTCTTATACTGTCATAATGCAGCACTTAGCATTTTATTTGTTTTTCCTTTTAAATTACTACCCTGTATTAAGGATCAGAGATGATGAACATTTTTACATCTCCTGATATAAAATCAAATTATTTTCCAAAGGATTATATTGAGTTACCCTGACACCAGTTATACATTAGTAAAAATGGATAAATTTGTGGTTTAGTTTATAACTTACCTTTTTTTACCTTCTAATATTGCTATTGGTTTACACATATATGTAGAGAGAGGGAGAGAGAATGTGTGTATATAAAAATATAGAGTATATATATGTGTGTGTGTTTATGTCTCTCAACTTAGACTTTAGAGTCATACTGGCATAATATGTGGATTCTGGTTCTCCCACTTAATCTTTCTAATCACGTTTCTAATCATTTGTAAAATGAAGATATTAATGCCTATCTGGAAAGATTTTAGTAAAGGCTGAAGAAGGTAATGCATATAAATGCCTCATCTGGTGACTTATAGTAATCACTCAGTATATACTAAATGTTAATTTTTTAAAGGTTCTTTATTTCAAAATCACTATAGCAACATTACAGATATTTTATAAACTGTGAAGTTTGGAAAATCAACCTCATTTCAAAATAATTAACTCTTACCCAGTTTTTATGAGTGAGTATCATATAAGAATTACCTCTGGCTTTGATCAGTTTCAGGAAAATGCCAGTGAGGGGAAAGCTCCCCCAGAAGATGTCTTTAAGAAGCCCCTGCCTCCCACTGTGAAGAAGGAAGAGAGCCCCCCTCCAGTAAGGCTTGCCTGGTGGCCTGGGCTAGGGCTGGTTCCGGGTGGGAAAGGAAGCTCAAAGGCTCATGGTAGCGTCTATCGTAACCATGCCTTTGATTTTACCTTACTTAGGAGCTGGGTCTGTCTGCCTGGGTGCTTATCCTTCAGCAGCTTTTAGTCCCCATCCTAAATCCCCTTTGCTACAGAGGTTACAATGGTCTTGATGAAATCCAGTATAATTTCAAATCATCAGTAGCAGTATTATCATGATAGCTACCTTTCCTTTCCTAAATGGATCATAGTGACTTGGAGGTGTTTATTACGTCTTCCTCTGTGTAACTTGTAACTTTTTAGCTCTTTTCCTATTTTCTGTGCCAGTTCCCTCTCTCTTCCATCTCACCATTCTGTTGCTAGAGTAACTTCTAAGAAAACCTCTCTGGCCTGTCTCTGTGAGCAGGGAGCAAGGTAAACTCAAGCCATGTTCCTTCCACCTGGGAAATGAGCAGTGTGGTCATGGGGCCCATTTTGAACCCAGTTCTCATTATTCCAATCAAAAGAGCAGAAAGAAGTGAGATACCCAATATCAGAATATCCAGAAAACTGGCCCCAAAGTACAGGTTGAGTTTGGTATTGATCCCTGGCCGCCTCCTTCCAGCCTAAAGTGGTAAACCCACTAATTGGTCTCCTGGGTGAATATGGAGGAGACAGTGACTATGAGGAGGAAGAGGAGGAGGAGCAGACCCCTGCCCCGCAGCCTCGCACAGCACAGCCCCAGCAGAGAGAGGAGCTGACCAAAAAGGAGAATGAAGAAGACAAACTCACTGACTGGAATAAACTGGCTTGTCTGCTGTGCAGAAGGCAGTTTCCCAATAAGGAAGTTCTCATCAAACACCAGCAGCTTTCAGACCTGCACAAGGTATTAAGGGGAAGGGGCCTTGGCCTTTCAAACTTTTGAAACTTATCTTTGATGGGAATAAAGAAATCTTCTACTGCATTTCCTCAGCCTACATCATCCCCCATGCCTATAATTAAATAACTCCAATTCAGGAATGAATTGCTCCTCCACTTTTTGTTCATGAGTTGCTCTACATTCAGAGCTGTGCCTGCTTTTGGAGAGCTTCAGTGTGTAACCCAAGGCAGGCAGCGCAGCTGTGGCTGGAACACCGAACACAGAGGGGTGTGCTGAAGGCGAGGAGAAGGAGTAATGGGAGTAGGAAGCTCATGTGTTTGTTGTCTTAGCTCTGCCATTAGCCTAACAATTTAACGTCAGATAAACCCCTTCTCTTTGGTACTTGGTGCCTCCCATGGATTCATCCATCTCTGACAGTGTGCAAAACCCCAAAAACCCATTGCCATCTAGTTGATTCTGACTCATAGCGACCCTATAGAACAAAGTAGAACTGCCCCATAAGGTTTCCAAGGAGCAGCTGGTGGATTCGATCTGCCAACCTTTTGGTTAGCAGCGGAACGCTTAACCACTGCACCACCAGGGCTCCTAACAGTGTGTTTTTCCCAAAGGTAGATCAAATTCTGCCATCTCTTCATGTAGTGAGTTATTGGTGTAAGCCATGGCACAACAGCTATTCTTGGGGTGTCAAATTGATATACACTGGCTCTCCCTTGCAGGCTGCTAACCAAATAGTTGAATCCACCAGTTGCTCCATGGGAGAAAGATGTGGCAGTTTGCTTCTGGAAAGAGTTGCAGGCTAGGAAACCCTATGGGGCAGTTCTACTCTGTCCCATAGGGTTTCAGTGAGTCAGAATCAACTCGATGGCAGTGGGTTTGGTTTTTTGGTTTAACCAAGGAGCCAAATTATGGATAGATAAAGCCCCTCGATGTACCCATGTTCTCAGTATAATTTGTTTCATGCTCATTCTTTAGCAGATGTTGCAAGAACAGGTGAGGGGATTGGATTTCGACTTTCAATACAGAACCGCGTCTTAAGGAGCTAAGACTTTGGGTTCTGTATTTGGGTTAGGCACGCCTCTTCTCCCAGCTGCCTCTGAGGAAGCTCTGCAAAGCCTCTAGGACTCTGAGAAGGTCCTCCTGACAGTCTCTGGAACAGACTAGCTCCCAAATCCCTTTGACCTTCTGTTATTCTGAGTCATCAGACTGACACATTTGAATTTCAGCTCTCTGGTGAAAACGCTAATAAATGACTGAAGAAATAAAACAAAGTTGTCAGGAAGAAGGAGCCAGAGATCTGGTGAATCCACAAACTGAATTGGCCCTAGGACAGTGGGAAGTGGACTGTAGCTCCTTTCCTTTCCTTGGAGTGATCCAGTGCAGAGAATCACCTCTCCGTACAATAGCTGCTCTGGGCTCTAATCTGTGTGACAAGCCAGTATTAGAACCTGAGCTTCCATTGGTGAGCCTAAAGCAAGACCAGTTGGGGATTGTTGCTTGCAGGGTGCAGGGATTATTTAGGAGGGTTGGTCAGTGAAAAGAGCTAAGTACCTAAAGCAGCCATCAGGAAAAGTCTAGAGGCATTTCTAGGATCCATGTTTTCTAGATCTGTACTCATAGAACCCCTCTCTTCTCAGCAAAACCTGGAAATCCACCGGAAAATTAAACAGTCTGAACAGGAGCTAGCCTATCTGGAGAGAAGAGAACGGGAGGTAAACTTCGGTAACCTGTTACTCCCTTGGCCCCAACTCCTTTTGCTTTCTGGTGTAGAGTTTGTAGGCTATGCTAACCCTTCCTTACAGGAGGACAGAAAACAAAGAAGTCCCAAAGGTGGTGTATACATTTCTCAAAACTCATCAAACGCTACATTAAAATGGGTGCATTTTATTATTTGTAAATTATACCTCAATGAAGTTGATGTTAAAAAAACATGGCATTGGGTTCTCCAGGTGGGCCCAGTAAATAGCAGTCCTTTTTCTCAGCTTTTGAATCAATTTGAGAAGATCAAGGAGTGGCATGGAGTGTCATGAGGAGGGTATTGGATAGGGCTGCTGAAATAGCATCTTTTACTGTTAAAGACTAAGTTGGAGGAAGTAGCTTAATTGAGAGCCAAATGAACTTGCTACCTAGACCACACAATTAGGCAGACACACCTGCCTGATCACAGCTTGGGGCCAGTCTTCTGTGATGGTGAAGAATCTGCCTGTGGAGGCCTATTGGAGAGCCTGCCTTTCATTGGAGGAAAAAAACAGCTGAGCCACACGTGCCAGCTTATTCCTCCCAGTTTATTAAAGGAGTCACTATTTTCTCAAGAACAGTGCATGAAGGGGCAAAAGATTTGAGGAGTTACACCAGTTGAGCTCCCTTCACAGAAATATCAAGAATGGGATAAAGCCTCCACATACCTACCCCTTGCCAAAGGGAAGCTCAGGTCTGCTCTTCTGCTTACCAACAGGGCAGGTTTAAAGAAAGAGGAAATGATCGCAGGGAAAAGCTCCAATCTTTTGATTCTCCAGAACGGAAACGGATTAAATACACCAGGGAAACTGACAGGTAAGCCTGGAACTCTTCACTTAGCCTAGGCCTCAAGGCCTAATGGTGAAATCATCTCCTTCTGCAGCTGTGCTACCGCTTTCTCCCTTAGGGAGGTAAGATTAGCAGAAGCAGGTTCTGTCTGAACTCCTTGAGCATAAGGCCCACCCCAGCCTTTTGAACTACCTGTTTTTACACAGGGAATGTGTGTGTTTGCATAGAGGATTGGCTGGCTGGTTCACCTGCTTTGTTCAAAGTCAGGGCTGGAATGGCCATAGTCAGGAACCCTTTCTTTCCTCTTCAGTAATGGTGTAACCTCCTATGGGGCTGATGAGAATGTAACATTCTTGGGATTTTTCTCTAGTGAACCTCCATTCTCACACATGAGTGCTGAATTGGTGTTTGGTGCTGATACAGGTGTGTGATCTCAAGCTTCCTGTACCTATTTCCAGCCAGATAGTTCCCAAGTGGTGAGCCCAGAGTTAGTCAGAATCTGTTGATAACGACTGTATGCAGGCACTGCACTAAGTGCAAGGAATATTCAGGTGAACAAGATCTAGATCATCTTTGACTGAGCACAGAATAGGGAAGGCTTAGGTGATGATGAGTCTCATAGGACAGACACAGAAATCCAGTGGGGAAGGGGAGGACATTTCAATTAGCAGAAACTGCATACACCATGGATGAAGGAGAGAGCGCTCAGGACACATTTGAGGAGTTGCAAGTCGCTTGATTGGGCTAATGGTTCTGGGTATGTTGTTGAGTTACAGGAGATGAGGCTGGCCCAGCAGGCGGGGCCAGTTTGGGAAGTTCATATACCTTAAACGACATGCTGTCACCTTGAATGCCATGCTGAGACTATTTTAAAGGCAGTGGTGGGTCATGGAATGATTTTAAGCAGAGTAGTGAGCATAGCTTTGCATTTTGGGGAGACTGGTAACCGTGGGGAGGACATATTTGTAGAGAAACTAATAAGGCAATTTCATTGTGATTTATTCAAGGGAGAGATCATTGATTGTCTGAGGGAAGACTGTGAGTATGGGAAGCAGAGTGGTTTAGAGAAAGGTATCAAATTCACCAGTCTTGGTGATCAGTCTAGGGAGAGGGAGAAGTCACTGATGATGCCCAGGTTTCTGCTGGGTAACCAGGAGGATGATAACAGGCAGTGAAGACCTTGAGAGGAAAGGAGGAAACAGGTGATGAGAGGGTACATGAATGGGAGGAGGAGGCGTGGTAGTTTACAATGAGAGGACTTGAGTAGGTTTATGAGTAGCACCAGAGTAGGTCGATGAGCAAAAGAACCAGTAACCAGAAGAGTTTGTACCTGTGGGGAAGGGGGAATGATTGAGGGAGCAAGGTCCCCGAGGAGACTGGACAGGGTCTAGAGCCCTGGCATTCCAACTTACTTGACCACAGCCCACAATAAGATGTATTTTCGTTTCATGGCTCAATAATCAAATGTGTGTGTTTGTGTGTGTGTGTGTGTAAAAGTCTTCATGAAATAATACTTTCTTACTATGTGAAATGAACTCTGTTATTTCTGTTCTAATCTAGTCTGTTTTCATTTTTAAGAAGTGTTAGGGTGGGACTACCGTATTGCTAGAACATCCCATTGGGGCTTTCTCTGTAATTTGACAGACACTGGACTAGGACAAAGGTGAAGGAGTCAACTCTAGACAGGAGGAAGAAGGCTACTTTAGCCCTGAGTCAGTGGGAGGAGGCTTAGGCTGGGTGCAGAAAGAGACCCTTCTCCATTCTCAGCACCCTTCACAAGCACTTCTCCTGGCTCTCCTCCTTCTTGGTTTTCTTTCCTGCTCCTCGTCCTTTTCTGGATAAGTCCAAGTGTTCTCCAAGACTCTTCCCTCGGTACTCCTTTATTCTTGCTGCTGTACTCTCTGACCTGGGCTGTCTAAGACCTATCACTAACAAGCTAACAAATCCTGTAGTTCCATCCCCATCCCAAACCAGGTGTATGTTTTCTGAGCTTGTAATCCATTTTTCCATTTGCCTTCTGGGAATCTCCTCTTAGAGTCCAGACCTGCTAAACCTCCTATGTTTTATTTCAGATTAGTAGCATCATAGCATCACTCTGTACCTGGTCTGACCCAATCCTTGTCCTTTCTCTCCTGTATCCACTAAGTGGTAAATCCCTAATTAGTCTCCTTGCCTCCCATTCTAGCTCACTTCCAAACTGGACTTTTTACTCCCAATCTTTGCTTCCTCTATTTTTTAGTTCATTCTCTACCCTGCCACCAAAAACCTTTGTAAGCAGAAATCTGCTCTTCTCACTCACCTCTCGTAAACATATACTTTGCCTAGAGGGAAGCCTGAAAGATGAAGTCCAGAAGCATGATTTGCCTTGGTGTTCAAGGCTGTTCACAGTCTGGCCCCAAGCATCCTTAACCTTTGTCAGTTCCTTCCACTCCTTTCCTGGACAGATTGTGTTCTTCCATTCTTCCTTGTCCCTGTCCCGCTTTCCTCCTACTCTTTTTCCTGCTCACAAACTCCTCGTTTGTCAAGACCCAATTCAGATGTACCCTCCTGTTAGAATTCCTTCATCTTTGGTAATGCCCTTGAGAGTTTGTGTTCCCATAGCAGATATCCACTGTTCCCACACCTGTGGCTGAGCTCTTCAATGTGCTGTAAGCAGCTACTGACATAGCCTTCTCACATCCTTCCCCACTAACAGGACCAAGTCTTGGTCATTTCTTTATTCCCAGGACAAAGCTTGGTGCATAGTTAGCAAGCGCTCAGAGTTGTCATTTAATATACCTTGTAGGAGGCAAATCTGAACCAAGAGAAGAGAGGTTTTTATTAGGCTCACAAGCAGGTCACTTTGAAAGTGATGGTATCTAAGTATGTCTGCTTCTTTTGCAGTGATCGTAAACCTGTGGGTAAAGAAGGTATCGACAATAGCAGCAAAGGAGGTTGTGTCCAGCAGGCCACTGGCTGGAGGAAGGGTACGGGCTTGGGATATGGCCAGCCTGGCTTGGCTTCAGCAGAGGAGGTGAAATGGTTTCCATCTTGTTGGGGGTGGCATGAACCTTGAATGTACTTCTAACTTCTCTCATTCTGTGGCCTAGAGCAGTGTAGCTGGGCTTTTTCCACTGCTGGTATAGGATATGAGAGCTCGGGAGTCTGTTGTCTGTCTTCATTACTGGGTCATAGCTAAGCATGCCGGGCCCTGTGCTATTTGGTTGGCGGTGGTGAGGGGGAGGAAGAAGCTGGAAAGAGGCTTACCTTACTTACAGAGTAAGCAGTGGGCAGTATGGGATTGAGGCAGATTGAGATTGAAGAATTGTTTGGTAGAAAGGACCAGGGAACCAGCAACAGAGGGTACAAAGGCATCTCTGAGAGTGTGTCAGCAGAGGTCTTTGATGGCTAAAATTTGAGGACCATAAAGTTAGTCTGGGTTACCGGGAAAGACTTTGCCCCTCATATTTCAAGACGAACCTTTACAGAAGATGATAAGGGGGAGATTGGTTTCTCTCTTTCTTACAGACTTTCTCATTTGTCTGATACTGCAGTCTATATATCCCATAATCATAGTGTCGCCATTCCCCTTACTCATCTTGGGTATTTGTTTAGTAATTAAACATTTCAAAAAGTTCTCTATCCTAGTCCTTATTGGTTCAGAAATGATTGTGGCCAAAGACCAGCCCTGAGGCTAGTTAATACATAGGGCCCACTTCACTGTTTGTCTTTTTTTCAGACTGAAGGCCGGGTGAGGGGACCCAGTGTGGGGACCGCAGGAAGAACTAGCAAGAGACAGTCCAATGAGACGTACCGAGATGCTGTGCGGAGAGTGATGTTTGCTCGGTATAAAGAACTCGATTAAAAAACGGAGACAAGTCCCACAGGACACACCCTCCTTCTTGTTTTGTTTGTCCGTCTCCTTTTGTTTTGTTACTGTTCTTGCTGCTAGAACTTTTTTAAATAAACTTTTTTTCAATGTGATTATTTTTTGTTAAATGTTTCTCCCGAAGATGGGTGGGAGGTGGAGCTGATGGTGGGAGAGAGGGAGTACCTTGATGTGGGCTCATTTGCGATAATGCTGAAATGGCAGCAAGTAGTACGGTGAGCCCTGCTGTCAATGTGAGTGGTTGGGTTGCAGTGACCTTTGAACCCTAGCTTTTGTGAGTGCTGTCAGATTTTTTAAAGTTATTTTTCTAATCTTGTCGATGAAAATTAGCGTCTCTTTATTGTTTGTTTTTGATAACTACTGGGGTTGAACATGTTTCCATGTTTGGTTTACTACTCATTAGAACTTTGAAAGTCCTCTTCTGATATCCCCATTGTTATGGAGACAGTGGACAACTTTTCCTGAGTGCCTGCTGAGTGCTCAGTGCTTTTACACATTCTGATCACCCGGACAAGTTGGCATAATAGGCTTTACTATTCCCTTCTAGCCACTGCCCCAGCTCCTCTTCCCTCCATAGCTAAAACTCTCTAAAGAGGTATTTGTACCCTCTTTCTCAGTTTCCCCACCATCATCACTCATACCATTTCACAGAATTTTGCTTCAAAAGTGAGGTGGTTTGTTTTTTTTCGTTTTTGTTTTTTTTTTTTTTCTCCAATTAAAAGGACCGTATTCTATGAACCCATTATATATATTTTTCCCAAATAATTCCTCAAGGTAACATGTTACAGTTGTAAGAACTGTAGTTTGCAGTTGTCTCAGGAAAAATGCTTCTTAAGAAGAGAACTGAGTGTTTAGAAGAGCATCTTGATGATGTACACTTTTCTGTAAAGGGCCAAAAAGTCAATATTTTAGGCTCTGTGGGCTAGATGTTCTCTGTCACAACTACTTAGCTCTGCTGTTGTAGTACAAAAGCAGCAACAGGCAATACATAAACAAAAGGTTGTGGTTGTGTTCCAGTAGAACTTGACTTACAAAAAGAGGCAGCAGGCTGGATTCAGTTGTAGTTTGCCAACCCCTGATCTAAGAGCATGATCTGGATGCATAAGGCAGGACCAAGGAGGATTGAATTGTACTCTTTTTTTTTTTTTTAAAAAAAAAAAAAAAAAGAAAAGGAATCTTTGGCCTACCTATTTGGAGGGAGATGGGCAGTGAGGGGTAGAAATATGCCAAGGGGAAAACTGGCCAGTGAGATACTTACAGTGACAGGAATGACAAATATGAATTAAATTTTGTACCATGCTGTGCCCAGATATAATCTCTTTCTCTTAAACTTTAATAAATCTGTGCACCCCTCAAAAAGGAAAAGAAAACAAAGTGAGAGCACATTGGATTGGAATTGAGAGCCTTAGGTTCTGGGCTTGCTACAACTAGTGCAGCATTACAGAAGATGGGCCGCTTGAGCCGTTCAGCCCCAGACAGGTACACTCCAGGAGTCCTTCTGGCTCTAACTGATAGTCTGCAGGTGTGTCTGTGGTGGTCTTCTGTCTCATTACTTTCTGTCTGCTTTTCACTGTGTAGGTCAAAACTCTTTTTGGAATATGGTCCAGTTTTGTCCTGAACCCACCAGACTAGGTTTTCCTTCTAACCTTGTGTCACCCTGCTGGGCCTAGAGTGAGGTCTGGGACACATTCTTGAAGACTGCTGTAGAGGGTACTTAGTTGGCCCAGGTTATTGGCTGCCCAGCAGAGGCACCATCAAGTTATTAAGTGGCCATTCTATAAATGTTGTGAGAGCCTACTCTGCGTCTCACTGGGGCTTATAGTCAGGCCGGTGTTGGTCTCTGTGCCCGTAAGACTCTATCCACTGGGGAAGATGGATTTTGAACAATTATTGACGTGATGGGAGCCTTGAGGAAGAAATGCAGCAGGCTGTTAAGATGGTGTGTTATGGGCTTGACCTTGTTTGACGGCAGCAGCAGCTTTCCTGAAGGATGTGTTTAAGCTCAGACCTCAGAGACTGGTTTGGCCCATTGACTAGTTTTTTTTTTCCTACTTTGATTTTATAATTTTAATAGAGATTCTGCTGTTGCAAATAATGTCTAAAGTAGGGGTGGGTGTGAAAAGTGTATCACCCTGTGATGTCCCTGGTAGTTCCTTGAGGACTTTGATCAGAAGGCCAGCTGCATGAGGGCAGAGATCTTGGGTTATTTTCTTCACTACTGTATCCCTAGGGCCTGGCGCAGGGTCTAACACAGTAGCTGCTTAATAAACGAATGAATAATGCTGAGCTCATAAGCCTATGGGAAATACTTGTTGAATTAAATTTGGATTGTATATTTATCTTAGTTCATCAAAGCCCATCTGTGAGAAAATAAATTTAGTTTCTTGGTACAGGTAAGAGTTCTTCCATCAATCTTTTTTCTTTAGCTTCTGTAGCAGTGGTTCCCAGCCTGGTACCAAAACATGTGAACCAGTTTTTTTATTTTGCCAAGTGGTGGGAGATTTTCTTTTAAGACCTATAATCATCATTTTATTAAAGAAACAACTTTTTTACATCAAAAAAGTAGGAAAGGCAATCTTAAAGCACTTTGCTTTATTCTATATTGAACATACATGGCTTCATTAAAACATAAACCAAAAAAAAACCCCTCATTGTCTGTTTTTCTTCCTTAGCTAAGGGACTTGTTAAGCTTTTGCAGACCCATGTCAGCTCCCAGACAGATGTTTGGAAGCACAGCAGCTTTTCCTCGGGGTGCTTGAGCACCAGAGCCATGTCCACACAGAGGATTAACAGCCAGAGGCAATTTGGAGGTTGGCACTTCCCTCTGGATGGAGTCAGTCCTTTTTTCTAGGGGCCTCCCTCAAGTTTAAGAATGATTTTGTGCCATTTATGAACAGCCATATACCTTTTATGGCTGATGATGAGCCCAACCCAGCAAACACTGAAGGGCTGCTCAGAAGTGCTTGTTAAGCTGCTTTGTGGGACAAGGCAGTTGACTGCTTTTGGCTGTTCAGTCTAGTGGGTTCTGGATGCTTGACATCTGCATCATGCACTGTTTAACTTTTTTTGTTAAATATTTGACTTCTGTGGTCAGATACATGAACTTTTTTCTGATTGTAAAAGGTTTACATGTATCTACTTTAAAGTTGTACACTCTGTAGATAGACACATGATACAGATGAAAAGGTAGAAGTTTGTATAGATGGAAAAGTAGGAGAAAATGCATATATATACATACCAAACCAAACCCACTGCTGTCGAGTCAGTTCCGACTCAGCAACCCTATAGGACAGAGTAAAACTGCCCCATAGGATTTCCAAGGCTGTAAATCTTGACAGAAGCTGACTGCCACACCTTTCTCCCATGGAGCCACTGGTGGGTTCAGATCACCAGTCTCTGGGTTAGCAGCTGAGCTCTTTAACCACTATACCACCAGGGCTCCTTATATGTACATACAGATAGACAAAATAAATCACCTATCATTTCAGAATGCAAAGAGATTTCTACCTTTCTGTCTAGTGTCATGTTTTAGTTACTATAAAAATGGCGTGGAGGAGGCGTCTGACCTCTTAACTTCACGAGGGGGAGAGGATTAGCATCAGCAGCCCAAGACATTCCTGTGAAGGGGAGATCAGACATAACTCCTCGCTCCAGCTTTTTTACCAATTCCAACACCAGCTGTCCCTCCCATGCGCTCTCTACTTCTCTGCTGGGTTCAGTAATTCGTTGGAATGTCCACACAGAACTCACAAACAGTACGATTATGGAGCTTATTAGGGAAATAACGGTATAGCTCAGGATCAGAAACGACTCGGGATACAGTTCTTCAATCAGCACAACTTCCTCTCAGTCAGACCTGCAAGCAGGCCTCTCTGGCCCTTGGCCTCTTGGCCTCGCCTCTGCCCTGCTTGGGCAAGTATTAGCTCTTAGCTGCGTGGGTCGGCAAGCCCCACTGCAGCTGTCTCCCACCAGTCTCCCGGTTCCTGCCATTTTGCACCGCTATTGCTACCTCTGTGCCACCTTCTCTCACTATCTTCAGTGTTACAGCTCTCTGTCTACTGGGTCTAGGAAATTCTCAGTGCAGGGACCCCGAGTCCAAAGGATGCGCTGTGCTCCTGTCTCTTCTTTGTGATAGTGTGGTCTCCTCCTCCACCTCTGGAGTGGCTCATTTTAACCCTGGCGGGGTAGCAAAACAGACCAATCCCCTTGTTAAGGTTCCAAACACCTTATTTGCATGGTCCCACACCCACAAGGGTGCCATGCAACATATTGGTATTATTAGCAAGCTATCCAATCCCCCTTGGTAGGCCACAAGCACCTTATTTGCATAGTCCCACAAAGTTACAAGACCATGGTGAGAAAGGCCATGTAAAAGTGATCCATCACACCACAGTTACCCGGAGTTTCCAGTGTCAATCACTTGATATGGAAGGATAACCCATAGTTAGAAAAATGTTTAAAGATGCTTTTCCAAGAAGAAGATTCTCTGGAATAGTTAAAACCCCTGGTTTGGAATCTCTTCATTGATTTCCTTTCACTTGTTGAGAGCTTTATTCTTATCCAGAAAGAAAGGGAAGAGAGCAGTATAGGTGTGGTTTTCCATGACATCTGTCTCTCTCTGCCTTGTCATGGTCTAATTTTTCAATCTGTGTGACCTGAAAAATCATTTATTAAAATAATTTAAATAATTATTAAATTATGTATAAAACATTTTTAAAACCTTAAATGTATATGTATGTATCATGTACACAATGTCAGAGGGCAAATTATGCTAGCTGGATGCATAAGAAAACCACCAGCTCACTGACCAGTCAGGGTGCAAAATATCCCTCTTTGGTCCAAGGGTCCTTGTCTGTTTACACCACAAATGTTACACTTTTAGCTTTGATAGTAGATCCACTTGCTCATCACATATTTATTGAGTGCCTACTATGTGCTAGGTACCAGTAGAGGCACTAGCAATATAGTAGTGAACTAAATTGCAGTGCAATGGATTGCTTTTGTGTGGCCTTTCTCAAACAATGGTCTTGTAACTCCCATCCAAGTGATTGTGTGGGACTGTGCAAATAAGATACTGTGCCCCACCAAGGGGATTGGTCAGTTTTGCCATCCCACTGGGCTTGAAATTTCCCAGAGGTAGGAAAGAGAGGACCCCACCACCACCAAGGAAAAACAGCCAGGAGCCAGCACGTCCTTTGGACCTGGGATCCCTCTGCTGAGAAGCTTCTGGAACCACGAGACAGGGAGAGAGAGCGCTGTAACACTGGAGGCAATGAGAAGCGGTGCCAGAGACCCGGCAGCAGGAAATGGAGTGGTGGGTTTCCCAGCCCATGGAGAGAGAAAGCTGTGTGCCTTCGGGCAGAGGCAAAGGGCCAGGGAGAGGACTGCCTGCAAGCATAGCTGGGAAGAGGCTGTCTTGATGGAAGAACTGTATCCTGGGTGTTCCTGAGCCTGAATTATAACTGTTACTTCCCTAATAAACCCTGTAATTGTCTGTGAGTTCTGTGTGGCCATTGCAATGAATTATCGAACCCAGCAGAGAAGTAGAGAGTGCCATGGGAGGGATGGTTGATGTCAGATTTGGTAAAGATGGCAGAGAGAGGAAGCATGCCTGACCTCCGCCTCATAGGAATCAGCCTTGGGCTCTGAATCTTGATTCTTCTTCACCGTTGTGAACTTAGAGGAGGTCAGATGTCGCCCAACGCCATCTTTGCATAAATAAACAGACAAAAGTCCTGCCCTCCCAGAGTTTACATTCTGGTGGCTGAGGGCATAGACTCTGAAACCAAATTTACTACAGTCATGTGCCGCATAACGTCTGTTTGGGCAGCATCCAACTGCAT